GGAGAACGAACAACATTGAAGTCCCCTCCAATACACCAAGGCAAACACCATTGACTTCGAATCTCCCCCAATTCCTCCCAAAGCAAGTGGCGCTCACCGTCCTCTGAAGGACAATAAACACCCGAAAGAATCCAATGAACTCCATCCTCAACTAAAGCAAGAATGCAAGAAACAGAGAAACGCCCAACCTTAGCATCCACTTTAGACACCCATCTGTTGTCCCACAAGATCAAAATGCCCCCCGAGGAGCCAATAGCATCCAAAGCAACCCACTCCACAAATCGCCCCCCCCCCCCCCCCCCCCCCAAAGACTCCTCACAATCCTATCAGACATCGAAGCCAGTTTAGTCTCCTGGAGACAGACCACATGACCCCTACTTTTACGAATAACCGACTTCACCACTTTCCTTCTAACCGGATCATTGAGACCCCGGACATTCCATGAGAGAATTTGTAGCTTCATAGGGAAACACTTGTAAAAGCAAATCCTCCCCTCCTTCCACCACCTCTCCCTCCAGATATGGACCCCCTATTCCTCCTTTCGTATGTGATAACATCATTGGGACTTTGCAACATTGTCTCCCCTCTCTCCTCCTGCCGCCCCACCTTATCACTCACCTTTACCTTAAAATGAGAACTGAGGACATCATTAAACAAACACATCGCCTCATCCACCCTACCTTCAAAAGAAACACCCAACAAAGGGCCCACTTCCAAGCCCTTCTCCCTCACCCACTCCTCCTCAAGGTCATTCACTCCAACCTCAGTCGAGTCACTAACCCAATTCTCCCCTGGTGGAACAACAGCCAAAGGGACAGCCAAATTCACTGCTTGTTCCAAATCTTCCCATGGAATCATGCCCGTGTCCCCATCAAGGGATGAACCTGCAGCTCCCTCCCAATCATCAAGAACTGAAGAAGAATGCGAACAATATCGTGAAACAGGCTCCTCCTCTGTCAAAACATCTCCTAAATCAGAAAGAAAGCCTTTTAAAGCCAAGTGGTCCCGTAACTCCTTCAATAGAACAGAGGCTGTTTCATCATCCAACTTTACCTTCACATCCCGACCAATACAAACCGTAATTCCCTCACCCATACCTTCACTTCGCCGAGAGAAACCAAGCCTATAACCAGAATCACCAACATGCCTTCCAGCCAAAACCGAGTCCTTCTCAATCACCGGAGCCAAGGATTGAGAAACCGTGTCAGTCCCACCCATCGCCCGATCCAGACATCGACCCCCCCAAAGAAGGAGAAGAAGTAGAAGGAGAGCACAACTTAGGAGGAGAGGAGTCAGAGGGAACTGAAACTGAAAACATACCCGGATCGAACCCCGACTGTGAAGATGCCACCCATTTCTGTTTATCTTTCCTTGACCACTTTTTGCGAAGAGCAGGAAGAATAATTTTCTTCTTATGCAACCGACGTCTCAGTACCGGATCCTTCACTCCTCGATCAACCTTGACATTCGCAAATAACAACCCGGCAGCACAGGAAACTCTGTCATCACTCATTGATACCAAAGGCTCAAACCTATTACACAGAAACCCAGATCCACAACTCGGCCCACTCTTCAACCCCGAAAGTCCACCAACAGAATCATCTCTAGAAGAATGGGCGCTCGGCCCACCAGCCACCTCACAAGAGACTTGCCCACCACAATCCAATTCCAAAGCATCTGACAGAGGCCTTTTAGCAGTAGGCCTATTAGGCCCAACAAGCGGCCCAACAAACCCAGGCAAAACATTATTAGAGACAAGGGCCCCATTCTCAAGACCACCATAAAGCCCATCTGAGTGGGGAGCCGAATTTGAATAGATCGTGGGAACAGTTGTTCTCCATTGGGAACGGGCAACGCCTGAGCGCCAACCACGTGGAAAAGCTGGAACCCTCCCCCTCCCACGCGCCTGCTGAGCGTGGAAGCCACCTCGTCGTCTTGATTGATCTCGCTGCTGTGCAAAAGGTCTACGACTATTTCCGGCGAGACCTCCACCCCACTGCAACTTCCGAGACGCTTCCTGCCATCGGCGATCCGACAAAAAGGAAAGCCCATCCTTGCGATTCTGATTGTAAATCCTTCTAAAACACTCCGAATTGCGAATCCATAAGTCTTCACTCCATTCCTTCCATGCCTGGAACTCAGCCATACCTTTTTTCCCCATGGATTCCCACCTCAACCATACTTTCTCCTTAATCAAGTGCGAACCATCCCCGCCTTCCAGGCTATCAGTCGTCGGAACAAGCTCAGGATGCTTCTCCTCCCAAACAAACACCTTATAGCAGAACTGGTCATCATGAATGAACACAAACGGAGGACAAACCTTCCCATCAGAGACAGTGATTCGGACTCTTTCAGCATCCAAAGCTTCATCGGCATCCACCCAAATGAACCCACCACAAAGATCACCAACTGTCACAAACAGAGCATGGCTCCAAAGGTGGAGAGGAAGACCGTACAGCGTCACCTTTTTCAGACCCTGCTCTTTCAACACCTCCGAGCACCCTACCCTAAAATTCCAAGCTTCCAGAGAAAGAGAAGCCGTTCCCCAGTCACGGCGACCCCTCTTGAGAACTCGAGAAGCTTCCGTCGAGGAAGGAAACCGGAACAGCAATAAAGAATCCGGCAGAGACGAGACCATCACACCAGAGGAGACCTTCCAAGCACACGAAGCCCAGGCAGCAATTTGATCCCCATCACCCACTTCCTTATCAAATTTTCCAACCAGACACGACCGAAGGTCTTCTCTTCTTCTTCGTACCGAATCATCATCCAAGAAAATAGATGGGCCTCTATACGGATTTGCAGATCTAGCAGATCCACCTTGGAACAAGCGAGGCAATCTAGCAACCTCCAAGAACGAGCGCATGACAGAGTAGAAAAACCAAACCAGACCAGCAAAACACACCAACCACGAACCACAGACCCAACCGAGAGAGCGAAAAGCGAAAGAAAAATAGCAGAGGATTTCACCAGAGTTAATGACTCCGGTGACTGGACGGAGCAGTAGACTCCGACCGCGTCTCTACCATGACAATTTAAATGATAAATTTAATTGAAACATATCATTTAAAGGTCCCTAAGCCCATTGACGTAGGCCATGGACTGTCATTAGAAAAGATAGAGCTCATTTTAGTCTTAAAATGATTTCAAATTTATACTTCAAGTGACAGTCCCCCAAGTGTTTGACTTAGTCGACTTGTACCTTCACCATTCCTGTCCCATTATCACAAACAAGTGGCTGAATGTCCTCAGCATCTGCCATCTTTTGCTACCTCCTCTACAAACCCTAGACTTCTCGTTTTGAGAGAGAGAAAGAGATGGTCTCTGATCGGCACCGTAAATAGAGAGAAAGAGAGAGAGCATAAATAGGGGGTTTTACTATATAAAGGCTACAATGTAATCAAACAATTCAGTTTTTTAGAATATTGATTATTAAGATACTCAGACTTCCCTATGTTCTTGCTTTACTCAAATCCTTTGCCTGTCTAACCTATCTTTTCACTCTCTTTTCTCATCCCTCCATCTGTCTTCTCACCCTCCTTTTAATCTCACCATATCTTCTGTCTCCTCAGCCCCTGTTTTCTTTCTAATCTTACATCAACAAGGTATCAGAGCATATTGGTACTACATCATAAAGTGTTTATATAAGACGTAAAAGCAGGGAAGGATTACGCTTAAGAATGATAGAAACTTTTTGGAAACTGCCTTGATTGAACCTAATCTAGTGGGTTTAGATAGATCCTTGATTGATCGAAATCCCCTTCGTAGATCCTTTAGGATTTGACCTTTCTGAAACAGTTTTATGCACTGTTTTTAATAAAATAAAACATGAAAACTGAAAACCTTACATGTTTAATGAAATAGATGAATGCTTATAAACCCTAATTTTGGTGAGTGCACAAATTGAGAGTTAAATTTACCATATTTCCCTTGCTTGAAACTTTGAATTCCTATTTTTCCCTTGGACAGAATTAATTCAGTTATCTGACTTACCTAACCTTTAAAGCATTAAAAAAAAAGATTAAAACATACAGACTCTAGTTTCATATGAAATTTGTTAGGATAATTCCTATTGACATAACAACTAAATTAAATTTGGCACTCTCCCAAACAATTCGCAATCCGAACCACCACCAGCTAATAGCAATGAGTCGTATCCCAGCCACTCGAAAAGGGGAGATGTGGCCTTAAAGTCTCAGTTATGACCTCGGTTTATTTGTCATCTTATCAAGAAGGAAAAATATCTTACACCACCATTATAGCAACAACCTAAAGATCTTCAGTTAATTATGGACATGTAGCCTGAAAAAAAAAAAAAAAAAAAAAGTTAATTATGGACAGGTTTTTCTATACTTGCAAGATTTTTCTCATTCATAATGCTATGTCAAGTTTAGTTGTCAATAAATGGATGTTATCCAACCCATCAATTGTCTATACAGGCCTGTCAACAAAATTTATTTGCCCCATAAAAATGTGATACTTTTTCACAAGATTCTCTATGGCAACATGAACAGCCTTCTTGTCAAAAAAAAAACATGCACACAAAGAACTGTCAAATATGTTATTTCAACAGTTCTAGAGGTTCTACTAAGAATTTCACCATTTCACTTACTGATTTTCACCCATTTTTATCAAGTCAACAATTTATACACATCACAAATACTTTAGCCTTGACATTCCAATTTTCTAGGGTCATATTGGCATTTGAATTCGACAACAAAGAGTTGTAACCATGAAGTTACGAATATTTTTCAAGACTTGCCTCCAATTCAAAGGTTCTTCGATTACTGGAAAATATTATTTTTTATAGTTAGTACTTGCTGTTTCCGTCAGATGTCTTTCTCGTTGAATTTAATTTCTCTCTGATGTGATTCTTCATTTCGTATACATTTATTTAATTTTAGCCAAAACATTTATGTTATTTTAAAAAAGAACAAAGTCGACATATAATGTAAAAAGTTAATATTACGAGTGAAAAATAATAATAAAATGATACTAACCATTGTTTCAGATGGCAAATCTTTATCGTTCTTTCCTGGAGCCTACAAGAAAATAAGATATAAGTATATCATTTATAGAGAAGGGAAATAAAAAGAAAGAAAAAAGCATGGTAAACAAAAAAAATTACATTAGATCTCCTTTTTTTCTGGTAGGTAATTTACATTTAATCTCATTATGACCTTTCAGGAGACAATGCAAGTGTGAGAACATGGGACTGATGCCCGTCAAAACGAAAAATGTCATCACAGTAAGCATCTAAGCAATTTCTATATAACGGATCCAGGAAATATTTATGAGATAAGTATATTTTAGTTTCTAGTGTCCATGTGAATTCTACATGAATTTCTGGTCAATCACAAAAGATAAGCAGTAATATTTTTGGGATCAGCAAGGTTGTTTTTGGCACAACGGTAAGGTTGTTCCATTGTGACCTGGAGGTCACGGTTTCAAAACAAGGAAGCAGCCTCTCTGCATGCGGAGGTAAGGCTACGTGCATCTAACCCTCCCCAGACCCCCACAATGGTGGTAGTCTCATGGACTAGGCCAGCCCTTTATTTTTGGGATCAATAAAGAGGAAGGCTAAGCCGAAACAAAGTCAAAAGAATACAAGATGGTATATTCTAAGCCAAAATAATATTACATATAAAAACCAATGGCAGAGCACAAAAGAAAAAAGCACAACCAGGAGTGTCTATGAAATAAAATATCCAGAATGAGTTCCAACACGCAGGAACACATTCCACAAGCAGCCACTGTTCTTATACAAAACATGCAACGTAAAATTCAACAAACAGCCACAATCCATCCACATCTTAGTGCTATGACTACTTCTACGCAAGAAAGTTCAAACTACGGCACAATGCGCAATTTGCATGCAGTGAGCAAATCCAATATCGATTGAAACTCTAAAACTGTCTATGCAGTGGGACCTTTCAACACTCAAAAACTGTCCCTGAACCACCCATAGAGAACTGAATAATGAAAAGGAGGAAATTTTAAAGAATTCCAGGCCTTTAAGTATTCTCGTTTACTTTTTAAACACCATGTGAACATTCACCATACACAAATTACTACCATATACACACAGCACGTGTACAAAAATTTACTTCACTTTTAGCTTGTATGGGAGTAAGCAGAAATACAGTAAACTTTATCACAGCCACAAAACCACCTGCATAACAAAAATAACCAATGCACAAAATAAAGAACAGCATTACCTTCAGATAATCAAACAAAATAAGGCACTGAACAAGGATATGGCGTCGAAAACTTGGATCTTTTAACTGTGGTACAATAGAAACAAAAGCAGGAAGTTAGCAAAAAAAATATATATGATGCAACACTGAACTCAAAGTAACTTTTATATCTGATGAGAAAACTTTTTAGTGCTTTAAATCACTCCCTACCTCTAGACCCATTAGTTTGCTGCTTGTAAGATATTTTATACTGAAGGTCGCCTCCTCATCCTCGAGATGATTAGCATTACCCTCTTCATCACTTAAAGGCTGAGCTTCAAATGTATTTAAAACAACCTAGCCATTCCATTGTTCAAGAAAAGCAATTGATGTCGCAGGTTATGCAACTAAACTATACTTCCAGAATAAAGAATAGCTGTGACATGAAGACCTGAGAAGAAACAAGAGCAGAGTAGAGATGTACCTTTAAACTGGAAGTAAATTTTTGCCACTTTGTAGGATTAAGAGTTAAGGAAGCAGGGTTACAGAAATGTTCCTGAAAACCCAAATAAATAACAACATTAGAATTTCTAATCCATTACAGTTCTCTTCCATCACCATTCCAAAATGCATGATTTATTCACCTGTAGACTCCAAAAGGTTTTGTAGAAGTTGAAATCAATAGAAATGCCTGGATAAAAAAGAAATGGATTAGTATATGAATATGAACACAGAAGCGTTAAACACCATTGAGTAGCTCAAGTTTACCATCAGGGGCCTCTTTCTCATATTTTGTCTCATTTGATGTGTTGAAAACTCCCTTTATATTCACAGCTGTAAGCATTGAACAAAAGGATATTAGCATGAATATAAAGCAAAAGAGAATAAATATAGAAGTAAACAACATGAACAAATAACAAGAAGTACCTGACCGTTCGGATAACGGGAAAAAATGGGCTAGAAACATTATAATTCGTCCACAAAACACCACATCATTTGCCTACAAAGTCAATTTTCAACGCATTAATGCTAATGGTGAAAATTTTGCAACCTTCCTAAAACTATGCTAATCATGATTGACACAAGAAAGTACCAACATATTCTGCCAAAAAAAAAAAAAAACTGTACTTTTTATGTTGAAAAATGAAGAACGATTTGGCATGATCAAATATCCATTTCTGGAACCTCACGAAAGAAATTTACAAAGAAATATGCAACTACCTTTTGCCTCGGTCAAATTATCAAGATAACTCGAACCAAAGAATTTTTTTTTTGCCAATTCAACAAAAATGCATGAGAAAGTGCCTATGTTACATGGACTCAGGTACATGTATGAAGTGAGTAAGCATGCTAATAAGCATCGAGCCTTCCAAAATCCCATATTTAGGAGTGGAGACTGGTGCCTTAATTTGGGTACGAAGACAATGGTTTTACCAGTGAGGAGAGTGATTTGGTCAAATATTTAAGGTAATGTTAAAGGATATTGGAGAACAAATCTAACATGGACTAAGGTACTAAGAGCTGAGGAAGAGAGCATACTATATATTTTAATTAAAGTTGTGGCATTAGATTTAGCAAGAAAGGCACATTAGAATTCATATAGCCAACTCTAGATAGTTGGACAAGCGCCTTTCAGATCTAGGCCTAATAAATTATAAACACATACTATCAAAGTGTATGAAAGGAAGTGGCTCCTGTTCTAAAAGATATTTGTAGCTTTAACTTTTAGAACTATTTTTACTCTAGTAAAATAACTAAGGTTTCTAAATCTATATTTTCTGAGGTTCGCAGAAATTCTAAGAGGACTCTTAGGAAGTAGCTTCTATATGTGCATGGGGGTAATCTCTAGGCCTAATCTCGTCCTCTTTTGCTCTTTCTTTTGTATGTAAGTGCTAGAGGGTCTGGTTCTCTATGCCTTTGTTGTATTTATTCAAATGAAGTTCTTGCCTTGCATCCAAAGTCAAAACATGGGGTGGTTCATCATATTTTCCAAGATTAGCTCTTTAGCACAAATTACAAAAGTGTAGAAAAGAGGAAGATGGTGATGAGAAGGAAAAAAAAAAAAAACACACAAAAGAGCATTTCCGGTGGATCATACCTTTGACAGACGACGAAGAAGTTGATTGCATGTTCTCAACATCACAAGTTTTCCTCGTGCAAACAGTTCTGGCTGTAAGTTTGCCACAACATAGTACATGATTGTCAAATACGGAGAACGTGCATTATAAAATTACAACGTCAAAAAAAAAGTAAACAAATAAGAAACAGCTAAATAACATTCCAAGGGAGAGGAACACAGGAACGATCAAAATATTACATACCTTACCCAATATGTCTTGTTTACTCTCTATATAACCAAAGACATCTTTACAATTTCTCATTGTGGACATTTCTGTCAAATCTTCTAATAGCTGGAATATCATACCACCTTCAACATGTTCTTTCTCACATAGATACAGCACAATGTCTAATAGAAAAATGAAATATGTGAGAGATAGAGGGAGAGGAGAGGGGGAGGGAGGATAACAATTTGAATTTAATTGGGTCTTAAATTTTCAAAAAATGCTAAATAACAAAAAATATGAACTACAGGACACAAAAGAATATATATATAAATTTAGCAAATTAAATGAATTATAATTAAAGAATACAGACATTTTGTTGGAAATGTCTTGCAGATTCAAAAAATATATTTTAAATATTTTGACTACAACACATTTCTAAGCGGAGAGGATCATAACAGACTTCAAGCTACTTTCTTTTACAACTTCCAGTAGATGTATTTTTTTTTTTTCATTTTCTTTTTTCTCTCTTCTCTTTTTGAGGGGTAGGGTGAGGGCATGCTGAAGTATTAAGAAGTGCAAGGAACCCCTTTAAGTTCACAAGATACAAACGAGCCTTAAATTGGATATAAACTGCAACACAAATCCAAACAGCCAAGCCATGCCCACATTTTGAAGAAGAAGGATATTGCATAAGTCTAGTGTATTGTAACACTATTAGGAGCAGGTCATCACAACAAACTTTGCGTCAAATTGAGGGCCTACATTTGAATTACTGAACTTGTATTGAACAGGTTTTGATTTATTCTAACAATTAGGTAATATATGATTTATATTAACCACAATACTGAAGAAATATATTCTTGTTATATTTCAGAATGCCATGAAAAATGCCTTATTTAAACTGTTTTAAAATAAGATAAAGTTCAGGATTAAGATTAACCAATAACAACATATAATAAAATCAAAAAATCTACAAGCCATTTTCTTCTTCCTTTTTTTTTTTTTTTTTTTTGGTAATGAGTCACAATGTTTTTTAATAAGCCAATCAGCAAGCAATTTCCCATAAGCTCATCCAATTTGTCAGAATTTGATTTTTTTCAGCTTTTTAAATTATTTATGAAATAAACTTGGACTTAAATTTGACTAATGTTAGGCCAAAAATCAAGGTTATCCATAGTTCTCTTGGGTTCCCCTCCAACCATGAAACTCCCTTTAAAAAAATCCCCAAATATTTCCCATTTCCAGAGATGCAATACTTTCCAAAAGAGTGTCAACAAAAGAGAAAATGCTTAACCGAAATTTACAACCAGTGAAATCATGCACACACCAAGAAGGCGAGGAATTTGACCCTGAGTGATCTCCTCATCAGCAATTGACTGCCCATAATGCATAATTTTCTCTCCAGACTGAACTGCAGCTGACTGTTCAAGACATAAGCATGCGTCAATTACGAGACATGGTAAAGAAAAGACCAGTAAAATGGATGTCCTGAATGAATGCAATAAGATTAGATGGATTCGTAGATGAACCAATGAGAAGGCTTATTTCTTGGCCAAGAAGGGAACTTCCATTTTTGTCATTTAAGGTTCGCTTTTAACCGTTGCAAGCATACTTTAAGGCTGTGATTTCCACACCCTGTGAAAGTATCCTTTAATTTACTTATTTTTTTATTGAAGGAAATTATACAATTACTTCTCAAAAGTAGAGTGTAGGATCACTTTATGGGACAATTACAGAGAGGGAGAGAGTGCTTTTTAAGAACCACTGTGTCATTTTTTTATAAAAATAAAATAAAAAAAATGGAACGTGAGAGTTCTTTGTGGAGTGCAAATACATTTCCTTCTCTTTTGGGAAATTAAAGTAATAAAATTTCAGGCTCGGATTTGTTAGGTTTATTATGCAGACTTTCAAGCTTTAGAGTAATGGGGTTTTTTTTTTCTTGCCTCGAAAGATTCCTTATCCTTCTGGAGGGAAAGATCACCATCAACATTTGCTAAAATCATGTATATTCAATAAAAAATATCCCAAAGGTGATACTGATATATGTTATGTTCTCGAAGGACTTGGCTTCTCTTTCGTAACAGCATCTTCCTTTTTGTTTTAGTTTAACCACTAGATCTTACGGAATCAGCATTCCCATTCACGCCCACCAGATGTTGGATCCAGTATGACATACCGACATCACAATAGACCATTTAATGTCTACCACCAAAGAGAATCCCACCCCTTATGAAAGCAGTTTAAGTATTTCCCTTCACCCATGGAAAAATAAAACACAGACATAATACTTTGATCCATGAGTATACAAAATAACTAGCGATAAATGTCAAAGGAGGTAACATACCACGAGTTCCTGAAGTAGCGTCCGTAGTAAATTTTCCAACAATTGATTCTCATCTTGTACTAACTTCGTTTGTTTCTGTCAAGAGAAATTCAAAAGACCTAGTAAGATTAAACTAAATAAAAAGGCTCCGTACATAGGATTAAATAGTATGAAAGCAATAAAATCCATATGTGGTTATTTTACACGCGATGCTTGTAGAGAATCTTTTAATACAACAACAATTATGAAAAAAAAAAAAAAAGATAGGCATAACATCATAAGCAACGAGGGGTGTTTTTTTATATGAAAACATGTCAGAAAATTATTGTTGTTTGCACTTTCAAGACAATCTGAACCAGGTGAAAAGCGTGTATTTTGATAGCTAAAAAGGACTATCATCACCAAATCATTCAACAAATAAATGGAAGGAATAGGAGCAAAAGCATACTATAGAACCAAGTTTACAATCTCTGTCACAAAAATTAGTTTTAATAAATGTTAGTGTTTTACTGTTCATCTAAGTGAAACCATAATTTGAGTGCCAATGTTGAGTTAGAATTTTGTCATAAAACCAGACATGGATATCAGTTGCTTCAGAAGGAGAAGTAATTCGTGAGATTTAAACCAAGAATCACATAAACATTCAACTTTGATTGGACAAAGAAGATGAATATTCCTTTGATTTTAACATTGCATTCATCTGTTCTATTCGAGACCATATTCATTACCAATGCATTCATCTTCACATAAGTCGTAGCATCTTCTATTTTATTTTTTTCCCCTGAATGGGGACTGTTTTATAGATCAACAAAAGATAAGCAATACAGTACACAATGAGAACAGCAAGGGCGTACCTCACTTTACGTCAAGGAAAAGAAAAGATAGAGAGACAAAAACCACTTTCAATATAAGAAGGAAATGAATCGGTGAGAAAGACTCAGAAAGAGGAGGGCTAGCATATGCCGTATCGCCACTAGATCATCTAAGGACAACCCAATGCCAAAAGCAGCCTTATAGACAAAAAATAATATATATGTAAAAATCATAAATGCACATATGCTACACAAAGTACATATATAAGTAAATACTGTACTGAAAAGAAGCAAATTTACAGACCCTTCAGATATCACATTCTCATTTACAGAAGCAACCCCATCACTTTATCATCACAAATTAACTGCCTAAGCCCATTTGGGTTGCACCGAGCCCATGCACAAAAACAAGCTAAGTTCCAATCCATTTATACTTGTGAGTTGTGTGACAATTACCTGAGGTTTTATTGCTTCTTGCACCATCTGAAGAGCAAACCCTTCAGGTGGCCCAGTTTCCACTATGGCCTTCCTGAATAAATCCTGAGAACAGAAAACAAAGAACAGAATAATTACAACTTTCATATAGAAAACTGAAAATAAAAACTTCAATAATAAACCACGTTCACATGAAATCAATGTTACACAGTAATCGAGTTCAGCTTTAACTATATTACCACTGCCACTCGGTTCCCGGTTAAACATACCCTCGCCAAGAATCAAATTTAGGGCGGAAAAATTATTACGTGAAATTTAAGATTCAAAATTTTCTTTTTATTGTATTTTCTCAGCAACCAAACAAAATACAAGCAAAATTATAAAAATACAAAGACAAGGGCTTACCATATCAAGTATTCAGCTGGGGCTGGCTTCACAACCAATGCTCTGCAGAGAAAAATTGGTAATTAACATCATATAAGAGTACAAACTGTAGTTGTTCAACACCAAGGGTAAAAAACATAGAGAGAGTGAGAAAAAAGGAAGAAAATTTAGTCTGGTTCGATTCGAAATTCACAGAATGCTTGATGTACGTTTACAGAGAGTGAGAGCAGGTACCTTTTAGCGATTTTGCCTCGGCTCAAGCAAATGATTGATGAATGAGTTGCAGAACACGAGAGAGAGAGAGAGAGAGGGGAATAGGGTCCGATAAAGGGGGTTAAACCCGAATGTGATTGGGCTAAGGGCTACGGGCCGTGATGGCTTGCTTACATCATAAATGTAATTTTGTATAACATAAATATATTATCCTATTTCAGACTTGCAGATTTATATCACAGTTATAACCACACTTCACAGTGACAGTTGGGAAAGAATATAAAAATATATATATTAACTTCACTAATCAAAGAAGAATTCAGCATGTTTTATTAATTTATTTGATCAAACGTAAGAATAGTTCTCAAATCATAAAATAGTAAAAAAAAAAAAGGACAAATGCCTCATCTGAGGAAACATCTTGAAATTTATTTTTCAATAAGTGATATGGTTGAAAATTTTCAAAATGCTTTCAAATACAAAATTAAAAAATATTTGATTTTAATAAATTATCTTTTACAGTTTTATGAAAAATGTTTTTTGTTTTTAATTATTTATTTAAAACTTTATTTTGAAAATTTTACAGTTTTGCAGACAACCCAATATATCGTCTCTTCAAGCCAGGGCACCATAAAAGTTTGCAAAAGTATCTCTTCATCTCTCAAGTAATGTTATATAGGTCATCATGAAAACTAGATTGGCACAATTTCCTGTACAATTTAAAGCAACCTGTGAATCTTGATGGGTTTGCAATAAACTAAGGTTATGGTGTTCCATGAAATTAGAGTTATAGAATAAAAATTGATTTAATTGAAGAAAATTTTGGTGCAACTTTGAACTAAATTTTTTTTTATTCCACCGATTCTAATTCGAATGCTCCAATTCCATGGTAGCTATATCCAATTCCAAGTAACTTAACATAGCCTAACATTGTGTTAAGCTGCAAGGAATTAAAACCTCAGAATTAAAATGGGTGAAATTAGAGAACATTTTAATTCAATTATATGAGTTTTCTCTTCAATTCCACAAATCTCACAATTTCATGCAACTGAACACGACCTAAAATCATTTCCAATCCATTTGGAATGACGGGAATCACTCCACATGTGAGATGATCACGGCCTGTAACACATTTTAGGATAGACAAGACATAACATTGGATAATGCACTACGGTATAGAAACAAATTCGTTTCTTGATACATTGAAAATACTACCAAAGTTGAAACATCTTCAAGGCCAAGAGAATGTCGTACTTGGTTAATACTAACAAGTATGAATAGACCAATAGAGTCAACAAACACTCACCAATCACAGCTACAAACATGAAAAGCTCTACTTTTGCATGCCAAACATCCCAATTCTATAGAGGAAAACTTGTGAAAAATAGAAACTGAATAATTTTTTACCACCCCAAGTTCAAGACCATGCCAATAAACCCTTTCATACAAGTAGACCCACCAAATCAGCAGACTCTGAACCCTTTCATTCAACAGGTCCTGTTCGGACTTCATTTGTTTGCAATAGGAATCAGTTATTGAGGAAAAGCACAACAGAAGTGTAGATAAAACAATAGCTATAGCAACTGTGTCTCAGCACTCTTCCTCGCCTAGATAGTATATGTCACCGCTTTCATAAAAATAGGCAAGCTGGAAACGGTCTCAACCTCATCTTGTTATATTAAAAGGCTCCATAAGAAATGAAAGCCATGACATAAAAAAGAAAGAACACCAAGTAAAATTTCCATAGCACCTGAGCACACATGATTAATTTTTCAAGTCAAAATGATTCTCATACAAACAAATTATCCAGGGCATCTAAACATAATGTTGTCTTATAAAACAATTGATTATCTCCCATCCTTGCATCCCTTGAATTAAGAATCAGCTTGAGATATGCATGTAAGAATGAACTGGTCTGCTGAAGGCCAAGGCAAAAACCGTAATCTGCATGACATGTAAGATTATTTTCAATGCTGTGAGTAATTAACAGATTTATAAGCAACTCCATGAACATAGCACAGTGACAATGGATAAACAAATAATGGTGGTCGAGCAATACCTTGACATACTATCCAAGGCCTCTTACATACTGGTCCAGAGTTGTATTAAATAGCTCAGACCTGCACAAGTAATTAGAATTTACCTGATAAAAGAGTTGATAACATCCACTGAATAGAAAAGTTAAACCTACTCTCAAATCAAAATTTATTTCTTAAGAATCAAAACATCAACAATTTTAGACCCTACTACTTTTTAGATAAAGCAATAGTTTCTATTTTCTGCTACTTTTAGTCAACTTGGCCTACTTGCTTTTAACCTTGGGTTGTCTCAACATTCTAAAATAACAAGGAACCTCAAAATCCTTCTTCACCTCCATCGCCAATGGTATTTCATTCATAATGGTCATTTTAAAGTGAGAAAGCTCATCCCTACCTTTAGACGAGAAAGCTCTGTTTTATATGCCCTGGAAAATAATTTCATTCATAACGGTCAGTCACACCTGGTCAATAATTTTTTTTAGATTTGCAATAATCCCTTCAAGGAAGAGGGGAGAGGATAAAGAAGAAGAGAGGAGTAGTAAGACCAAAAGAATGCTAAAACACACCAGAGGGGACATTTTCCATGTAGACTTGCGGTATAGAAAAAGCAATCCCAGCCAAGGATAACAACCCAGCTAGTTCTCATTTTTTAAATCATTCCTAAGGGATTCAGGAGTGATTCAAAAGATCTTTTTTCTTATCCTCCTCCTACTTTAATTTTCTGTTACACTTCTATACCGGCAACAGAACCATTTCTTAAACCATTATATTCAACTTAAATCCAACTTCTATAAGCTCTCCATGAAAATTCAACCTTAGCAACCCAAAACTCAGAGAAGGAGCCAACTTACCATCCACAGGTACATACAGCAAAAGAAAAGCCCCTGAACAACCTCCAAATTTCTTTCTTTCCCAATACCAAAACCCTAACCAACAAGTCTCTAATTAATCTAAAAACCTTTCTAAAAGGAACACTGACCTCATAAGCAATGTTGCAAAGTCAAACTCTTAAAGTCCTACATTTTAAGTATTGGCTCTTCCAGTTAACCTCGTCTCAAATATCCCTTCTACCAACTACAATATTTCCTCGGCTTTGTAAGACAATCCCAATTCCCAATGAAAGCCAATACAAAAAGCAGGAAGAGCACCTATCTCAAAACAAAGGTTAGGCGCCAACCTGGCCATATTATCCACTTTCTGTATAGAAATCAATGCACAATAAGCAACACCTCCAACACAACAGCACACATTAAAGGTGCCTAACTCACGACAGGATGATATACGCTGTCTTTAAAATGATAAACAGGAATTGTCACCCTCCCAACGCGGGGAGGCGGGCGAGCTGGCAGCCAGTTTAAACCTAGAGTCACAATGTACCTCCTTCACCACCTTACTAAGCATGTCACTCAACACCCCCATCATGAAATGAAAATGGAAGCGGAGGACAGATATCAGACGCCTCAAATTTCCAAAACCCAGTTGAACAGCCATTGGCTAATATAGAGAATCTCATGGTTGAAATACAAGCCTTTATCTGTTTACTCCACTCAGAGCCAATACTCATCAGCTACATCACCCAACTTAAAAAACCCAGCACATAACCATAAGCTTTCTTAAGATTCACTCTGAACAAATTTTGCCAGGTTACTTCAAATTCTTTAGTCAACACACTCACTAATTACCAGACTGAAACCAGACTCTGATGCCTTTTTTTTAAATTAAAAAAGGGCTTTTCGGGAACCAAAATCACCTTTCCGTCCTCTCAATGCTTTAAAGCCAACACCTTACTGTCCTTTGGTAGGGGGGAGAATGGGAGGAAGGAAAAGGGAAAGGGACTTACGAAGAACAGACAGAGTTTTACTTGTTAGGAAGGGGATGAGGAGGGAAGAGAAGATAGGAGAGAGGCACTTTCATATTAAATCCGCCATATTCTGCCTGGAAAGAGGAGAGGGGGAAGGGGGGGAAGAGAGGAGAAAATGAAAAGAGCCCTTTTTTTAATACATTTTTGCCATATAACCTCCTCTCCTTCCTTTAATATATAAAAGTATCATTGCAGAAGCAAGCAGCATCCTTCCCTCCCTTGCCTTCCCACTTAACCAATAAAATTTAGGAAAGCAGAACTTCCTTCCACTATGGATGCCTTTTGAACCTCCTACACTCTCCCATTCCAGCATCCATCCCTCGTGCCCAACAAACCATTAGCCATCAACTTATAAATAATACCCGTCATTTATCGACAATAAAACCTTTGATGTCCACCATGCCTCCTTTTCAGAAACAATGCAATAAAGTAGGCATTTAAGCTTTTTTCAGACCTATTAGCATCAGAGAAGATGTGCAAAACACCCATAACATCCTCCCTTACAGAACTTTGAAAATGTTAAAATAACAACGTAATCAACCTGTTTGACTTGGTGTTTTATCCCCATTCACACTGTTCCAAAACACCACCACTTCCTCTCTGGTAAACAGATATACTATCGACTCACTATCTTCTGCCTCAATCTAACCAAATTCTAAACCTTCTAAGCTAGGTCTCCACTCTCTTGTCCCATGTAAAACTTCTCATGAAATTCCACAATTTCTTGATCGTCTCCTCCCCCAATCTATTAGTCTGCTCCATTATGATTGAACATCCTATATTCATCTGCCAATCAATATATTGTCCCCGTCATTCAACCACAACGCCCAAGACTTCTTTCTCCAGCTAATGACATCTGCCCTTACTATTTAACCAAGCTCCCTCTTCCACTCCTTCCTGCCTGCCTCCTCTCCATCCGTTAACACAGGTCATTCATGCCACATGAATGAATAAAAGTTCTATTTTAAAATTTGATTCGTGTGTTATTTTATTTTCTTTTACAATATTTTATAACCATCCAGAAGGAAAGGAAAAACTGAATTGTCCTAAATGGTGGAACGTAGACCCGACCAGAAAGAAAGTTGAAAACAATTAACTTATACATAGAACATCTTCAAGGTGGCTTTCACCGGCAAAAATCCTTTATAGTAGATACATCATGTAAAGTCTTAAATGATAAAAACCCATTACTCACCTGATTGGAGTCCCTGGATTGTAGAGTGGATTTTTGACAACATATTCAACATACAAGTTGTAGATATACTTCAGGGATTCCCTTAAATCACCGGTCCTAGGGTGAGTGACAAGTATAATCTGCGAAGAGAAAAATATACAAAGTGGTGCAGTCAGAATTGAGCGTATTAACAGGTATAGTTTCTATCATTTACATAGGGACTTTCAGTCACGTGATCTCATAAATTGAGAATACTTATAATTTAGTTATACCAAAAAAAAATATTCACATACATTAATTAATAACATAAATTTTAACAAGACACATAGAAAACAACTTTCGCAGTACCTTGTGATCCTCATATGTTATCTCTTTACAATACTCTATAATCCCCCCCACCAAAAAAAAAAAAAAGAGGAAAGGAAAACTGAATTGTCCTAAATGGTGGAATGCACCTATCTGAATTGACAGTTGAAACCAATTATTTTTTACACTGAAATCTTCAAGAATGAAGGTGGCATCCACGAACATAAATTTCCATAATAGATACATAGTGTTAAGTCTTCTTCAATGATAAAAAGCTATAGCTCACCTAATTAGAGTCCCTGAAATATAGCATCTACCACAAGGTCCACAGAGTTGTGTTCCACTCAAATTGACAAATCAAACCATGACAGCAATATCAAATGGAATAGCATATTATAAAAATAGGCACTAGAATATGCCATATCAACCAACTCATGGGAGATGGAGACAAAGCAGAGCCAAATAATTTTTTTCCTTCAATAAATAGCCTTCTAAATTCTTTCTTCTTCAGTTCTTCCCAATCTTTTTATCTGCTAATACAATTTAAGTTTTAGTGATTTTTTTTTTTTTTGTTTTTTTGCAGCATATAATTTAAGAGTTCCCCCCCCCCCCCCCCCCCCCCCCAAAGAAATTGTTTGCACCCAAGAGGAGTCAAACCTTAGACCTGATGCTTCCTAAGGCACCAGGGTGACTTGCCACTTGAGCCAATCCCTTGGGGTTGTATAATTTAAGAATTGATTTTGAGTAAATTAATTTTTCTTATCTCCTCTGTGATTAGTATATTATAAGCCACAGAAAGTTCAATTATATGAAAAGTATGTTAGTCTAGTTTTCCAGAAGCTTGATTTTACTTGTTATATGCATCCCTCTAACAAAATTCAAAACTAGGTCATGTCCAGGTATGTAGTTCCACAACGCAGCTAGTTTTCTTGAAGTTGTATCAACCACTTGAAATACTCCAAGCACGTGATTTGCATTTATTACGGCGCTGCATGGGATCACTAATCACCAAGGTTTCAGAGGCGCTGAAGAAATATGCACTAGGAGATAATTTCTATGGTAGCTAGTAAATGCTCAACAACATTTCAGTAGCCTACAGATATAGTGCTCAGGAAGATAATTAAGTTGGCAACTATATGGCTGACATAGAAAGAAACAAATATTAGAATGTTTGAGGGCAGATTCCCATAGTCTAGGGATGTATGAAGTGATTATTATGCTTCATTTTGGACCTCCTGATAGATGATTTTATTAGCAAATGTCTTATAAAAATACTAGGTATTGGGTAATAATATGCTCTTCTTATCCTCAAGGGATCAGGGCCTTTGGCACATATGAATTTGCTATATACTTCATCCGGTGAATTGCGTTTATTTCTAGATGGCTACCCTCACGGAAATCTAAGCAGTTAGGTACTGGAATCCTTCACACAGCGTGTATCATGAGTAAATTGAACATAACAGCAGTCCTAAACTATTCTTGATCCAGTTAAACGTAAACTAATTATGTGTAGCGTATAACTTGCCTCATATGTGACATAAGTCCTATGTGGTCATGAATTTCCACTGATAAGTACCCAATAACGGAAAATTTCGAGTTAAAGCAGATTAGAATTACAACTGAAGTTTCGCATTTGGCGTCAATTACACACGGTGATTTAGAAAAACATAAACAAAAATCAAAACCAATTTAACAAATCACCTTTATCCCAGATGGACTCTCCATAAAACTAAGTTTGTATGTATTGGTACGAAAGCTGTGAAATGAACACCCTTGCCCAGGTAACTGGGGCACCCCAAGATTTCCTTTCTCCGCACTGCCCAAAACAATAATAGTAACAATTAATTGGAAAAAAAAAAAAAAAGAAAAGAAAGAAAGAGCAATAGTTTCATTACACAGAAAGCTCCTTGAAGTACGAGAGACTTCTTGGCCTTGAGAGTATAAATTATCATACTAATTAATTAGAGCGTCCAGCAATACAGCCAATTCTAATAAAAATTTAGTTCCTTATCCAACAATGCTGGAATTTATTGAAGTTTGGAAACTAATACCAATCAACAATCAATAGTGTCTATCAATCATATGCCAAATTCAATTAACATTTTATCAATCTACGAGCAAAGGTTAAGATTTAGAAAAATATTAATGCTGATAACTGCCAATGTGAGATTCTGGATATTCCGTGAATAAAACTCCCATTGTCTTAATTGAAGAATGTTCCATTATATAATAGATAGCATATAAAATGGCAACATTAGCTTCTATGAATGTATAAACTCATCCAATGGCATTATTTGCAACTGCAACTATCATGTTTAGCAATGACTCGTATCTTTAACTTGGTGCAACAATCTATTTTCTTTCAAACGCTAGGACCCTAAGGTTACTTTACAGATTCAAGATATGAGCGAGAAAACACACACCTAGTAGGATCCATTTTAGCTGTTAAGGATTTGAGGGAGAAAAGGAGACCAAACATAAGCTTGTGGTCTTGCTGGGCATTCAGGGTTCGAAGTGGACGGTTCCATTCCCTGTATAGCAGGCAAACCCCATTCCTATTGAACACATACATCATATGAGCATTGTTTCCTGATGCCGTCGGTGCTGGAGGCGATGGACTGATCTCTGACCCTCCAAAGAACTGCATTCTTCCTGACCCAGATCAACGCTTTGGAGAAGTGTATCAGTCTGAACACAAAAAACTTCTGGCATTTAATTTTACTCTTTTTTGTTTCATCAAAGTATAAGAAATATCTATTTGCAGACAGAAATTGGGCGTACAATAATGAATTAATTGATCTTGTACAAGAAAGATAACTCTTCGTTTGGTTACTGGGAAAATGTAGTAAGAGGAAAAAACCTAAAGGCTCCCTTTGTCACTATGTAAAAATCCTTTATTTCCGGTTTTTGGCTTAAATTTCAAAAACAAATATTAAGTTAAGGAGACATTTTATCAAACAGTCGGTGGACAAGGATTTAATAAGAAGCAAACGCAATTTCAATTCAGAAACAAATTGGGTCAAAGAAACTCACAAGAATTTTGAAGATTGTGCTATGATAAAATCAAGTTCCTTCAAATCAAATCAATCAATCCAAAACGTCAATGAAAATTTATATCTATCTATCGACATATATAACAGAGGAGAGAATACCACTGGCTTTGAATTCATAATATACAAACTCAAATCAAACAAACAGGTACCAAAATCATGATTCAAAACCAAATCACCTCGAGAACTAGTTCACTTGAGCCAAAAACGTCAAAATTCTTTGAAAATTGATACGGAATCGCAAACCGTGGTGACTATCGCTGGATTTGGCAAACCATCGTCGGCGTTGGAAATGCTAGCCGGCGACAGGGAGAAAACAAGATGAATCGCGGAGTTCGTGTGGAGAAAAATACGTAGGCAGAGAATGTCAGATGTAAAAAGACTGATAGACCATGGGTAAATTTCTAAGCTCCGCCTTGTGGAAAGAAAATAAGCAAAGTGAAAGCAAAAAATTTTGCAGAAAAAAAAATAATAATAATAATAAAGTAACAAATTTGAAATGAGTATTAAGATGATTTTTTTTTTTTTAATATTAAAATTACCATTTTATAGTTTTTTTTTTTTTTTTTTTTTACCTACACAGTTATTTTAAAAGTTCAAAAATATTTTCAAAAGTATCATTTTATAATTTAAATAGCATGAAACTTATTATAAAATAAATAGTATCGCTAGTAAGTTAATTTTTAAAATAAAAAAAGAAAAAAGAAAACAGTTTTTTCCTTTTTCTTTTTTCTTTAGAATGTTTTAATAGCTATGCAAAGTAATTTTCCTTCGTTACTAGACTCTTAAAATATTGAGAACATTTTAATTTCTTTTATTTTTCTCGTTATTTTCATCCGACCAAATGAAGCTTAACAAAAGTAATAAAAAGTAATGTATAATTACTACTTCTTTTTTTTTTTTTTTTTTGACTCCCAAAGATAAGGGGAGCCGCTCTGTTCTGAAATTATGAAGCATTCATCTTTCTTTATTAAAAAGATTAAATAAATTCAACAAAATTTGTTCAATAAAATTTTGTATTTTAAAACTTTTTCATAATATTCTGTTATGTTCTTAAGTTTCGTGATTAGTTTGGTAAAAAATAAGGAAGACTGCGGGGAATATAAGACACAAAGAGGGATGAGAAAAGATGACTGGTGAGTCATTACTTTGCAAATTTTTACCCCTCTAAATATGAAAGGAAGTAGAGAAGGAAGACTATTAAATAAATTTTAAAGTACGATATTATCCTATGTAATTATTAGATAAACCCAATATTAAGAATCTATCTCTTCCTTTATCTCTTATAGCAATTATTTTCTTCCCTTATTTTTCAACCAATTAAACAAAAAAAATGAAGAACGTTATCCTTTCACTAAAGATTAAATATAGCAAAAATCCCCAACTTGGGATCCGCCCCACCCTGTTTAGGGCGAGTTTGAGGACCTTTTTTTGTAAATGGGGATAGGAATAGGAATGGAGGTAGTTTTTTAAAATCGGCAAGGATAAGGTAAACCTGCCCCACACCTGTTTAGGATATACATTTACAAAAATATCCTTATATATTATGATATATTACTAAATTATATTGAATATCTATAAACACACTTAATAAAAATTATAACTTAATAAAATATCCTTCGTTGGACTGAATCTTGGAATTTGAGAATAAGAAAAATTATGTGTTAAACAAAATTATAGAAATTATGTGTTAAACAAAATTATAGTGTATGTTCGACGGAGATGGGGCTGGGGCTGGGGTGGGGGTGAAAATTTAAACAGGAATGGGGATGAAAAAATTCACCGGGTATGTGAATGGGGAATGAGATTACCGTCCCATCCTGTTTTGCCTCATTGTCATCTCTACTATGGATGTCTCATTCATCCATTTTGTTCCATTTTATTCAATTTATTTTCCTTCACACCGAACGGTGCATTAGTTATACTAAATATTACAATATGAGTTAAAAAATAATTAATTTAACTTAAAACCGACTAAAAAAACCCTATGCATAGAAATTTATTTTTTTACTATTTTTTGAAAGGCACGTGTAAAATACTTTGTTATATGAAAAATCTCGTATGGTAGAAAGCTTGAAATACAATTGGTTTATCGTGAAACTAAAAATGGTGTAATCTCAACTAAAAGTCTAAAATAATTCATAATTTCGAAATGGTCGGTGAAATTTTGATAGAAATAGGTTACAAAAAGTGTAAGTGGTGTATAATGAAATCAAGATTGGTATAAACTTAACTAGAACATGACTCGATGAGCTCGATATTATTATTTAAAGGAATGCTAATTACAGTTTCACAATTGGTGCAAGGATTGGTTAGTTTTGAATATATTAATTACTTGAGTTTTTATTTTTATGGGGTTCTACATATATTACTTTTTTAGACAAAAATACTATTTTAAATCATCTAACATTTATTTTTATCTCCTCTTTTGATCTATTCATATGGGGATGTGTGCGTATGTGTGTATATATATATATCACGGAGTATCTAACATTTTTTTTTCTTATATCCTCTTTAAATCTATCCATATGGGGATCTGTTTTTATGCATATATATATATATATATATATATAATAATTAATGTTATGTGAATGGATTTTGAAAAAGGAAAAAAAAAAAAAGTTAGATAGGATAATACATTCACAATTGCGAATTTATTTATTTTTTTTAAGAATATATCTATCTCTTGTGAATGAATTATCCTATCTATATATATATATTTTTTCCTTTTTGAATTTATTCACATAATACTAGTTATTTTAGTATATACACACACACACACACATTTTCATATAGACCGATTAAAAGGGGACAGAAGAAAAAAAGTTAGATAATTTAAAAATAATTTTTTGTCTAAAAAAATTAATGTTTATAGAATTTCATAAAAATAAAAACTTAACTAATTAATACATATAAACTAACCAATTATAATGATGACTATGATTAACACTTCCCTATTATTGTCATTACCTCCTTAGGTTACGATTGGATAACTTGCGGACTTTTTCTTCCATGAATGTGAGTCATTTTCTAAGACTGTCCTAATAATCTGTCATTGCCCACGTTTCCATAGTTGGCGCTACCATTAAAAATTTGATAGGGCAGACACTCCTCAAAATATTATTAGCAAAAAAAAAAAAAAAAAAGTGGTGCAAATAGCAGGTACAGGCGCCACAACTGGCTAAAAGGGTTAAACTCCGAATATGATTGGTGAAAATTTGAAGTAAATATGGTGAAAAGTCGAGGCATAATTGGGGCAAAATTCTATGTATACGTGTCATATAAGAGAAATAAAAATGGTGTAATTTCCTAAACTCGAGATGTGGTTGATGAAAAATTCACATAAAAAAAAGGTTAAGGTTGAATTTGGAGGGACATTTGTTTTGATGAGAGATATAAATGGCAACTATTATTATTTTTTTTCTTTGAATTTTGAACTAAAAAGATAAACAAATTGAAGTAGTTAAGTAGGGCTGGTCACCGATCAGATCCGATTAGGTATCAATCTTAATCCGACCCGTTTTAAACGAATTGAAATTTTTTGAATCTACCATCGATCAGTTTGATAGCGAATTGGATCTGTTGAATGAATCTCGAATTCACAGATTGAGTTTTTATCTAAATAGTCCAATGTTATTTATTTTTTGGCAAAGTACAGAAAACCCCTCTCGACTTGTAACATTTTTTAGTAAACCCCCATTGTCTAATTTTTTTACCAAATAACCCCCTCTCGACTTGTAACATTTTTTAGTAAACCCCCATCGTCTAATTTTTTTACCAAATAACCCCCTCTCGACTTGTAGTCATTTCCAATAAATCTCCCTTATCTAATTTTTTACTAAAGAACCCCCCTCAACTATCTAAGGGTGGTAAAATAGTTGATATTTAGACAAAAATGTTTTTTTATTTAAATTTTTATTTTTCCAAATTTCAAAAATTAATATCTCATAAACCATACATCAAAATATTGCAAATAGTATATGAACGGAAAACTTATAAAACAAGGATTCAAAAAATATAAGATTTGTTTGATGAAATTTTATAATCAGAGAGAAATAGACAATCTAAAAATCTACTGTAACAATATTATTTTATTTTATTTTATTATAAAATACTAGGGTTATTTGCAATAAATTTTTTAAAATTATTCATTTTCATATGGAGCATAACATATAAAAAAATTAACCTCAATAGAGACCGAATATTCATTTTTATTATTATTTTTTAAATAGTGAGTCTATAAAAGAATGAAAGTGTTTTGACATAAAATATGATATCCCATGAAATCGATCTCTGTTGGGGCTAGATTTTTTATATATTCGGATCCATATGTAAATGAATGATTTAAAATTTTTTTTTGCAAATATCTCGAGTATTTTTATTTTTTTTAAATAAAATAAGATTGTTGGAGTAGATTTTTAGATTACCTATTTTTCTCTAGTTATAAAAGTTTATTTTTTGAATCCTTATTTCACAAGCTTCTCGTGCATATATTATTTATAAATTTTAAATATACGGTTTGTGATATATGAATTTTTGAAATTCGGGAGAATGAAGATTTAAATAAAATGACATTTTGGTCAAAATATCAAATTTTTTACCCTTTCAGATAGTTGAGGGGGGTTATTTGATAAAAAATTAGATAAGTGAGATTTATTGTAAAAAGGTTACAAGTCGAGGGGGGTTCTTTGATATTCAATATTATTTTCTAAGCCAAATTTTTAGAAATATTTTTAATAACTCAAAAAACAGAAGGCTCTTTTTATACAATTACAAAAAGACTAATCTTAAAAAAAATGCCCTTTTTGACCTTAGAAATAAAAAAAAAAAATATTCAGAAAAAAATAAAGAGAAATTTGGTATACCAATTTATAATTTTCAATTATATGAAAACAAAAACTATTATAAAAAAATAAAAATATCTTCCATGCTTACATTGTGTAGGTTTCAATTCACGATATTGTAAGAAATAAACCTTATACATAAAAAAACAAAACATACAGAATAGGCAGTTTCAAACATTTATTAGATTATATTATAGTAATTTAAATACATACAAGATATCTTCATAATTACAACATGGGCACAGCATTTAACTATTAATGCGTGTTGTGTATTGGTTGCACATTCCACGTGAATTGTCGGCCACAATGCACGAAAATGACCAAAGAAAAACAAAAGAAATAGAACATTTGTGATTCTGTTCCCATTTTTATTTTCTTTACCAACGAGTGGAATAGCGAGACACTTGCAGAAAAATGCACTAAAAAAATAAATAATTTATATTTTAAAAGCAACAATTTAAGAAATGTAAATTTGTCTTGGGGAAAAAATAAAATAAAAAGCAAGAAAAAAATGAAATAAAATAAATTATTGTTGTCACTGTTTGAGACAGTGGAATTACCTGATAATGGAGGAAATTTAGTTTATAGCTTGAATTTATTATTATAATTAATTCCAAGGCATTCAGTATTACAACATAAGATTTTATTATTTATTTCTTTAATGTCTTTTAGGTCATTACCAGACAAAATATTACTACTATTATTTTGTAAAATTAGGTTCAAGAGTCGGTATACAATTGGGCTAATAGCCCATTGGTAATGGACATTTTTAATTCTTTTGTGATAAATGACTAATATAACTTTTTTTCTTTTAGGATAAATTGTGTATATTTGGTAGGTGACATCCATTTGGGATTTGTTTATCTACTACTTACTTAAAAACGCTTTTATTTAAAAAAAATTATTTTTAAATGTGTTTGATAAGTATTATAAGCGCTTTTAATAGTTGCTAAATTTAGCTTAGTTTGAATTAAGCTATAATTTGGAACTTTTAAAACCAGGTTGCAAGTATATGTTAAATATTTTCGGGAACTCCTTTTCATTAATCAAATATGTCATTTTTATTTTTTATAAAGACAATTACACCCATTCTTTAATAAAGTTGCTATTATCACAGATGGTAACATCCTATTAAATAATATTGTTGTAAAATTAGCAATAGAAATATTTTAAAAAATATTGTTACAAAATAAATAAAAAAATAATTTAATATAAAAAATATTTATTATAATGTGTCACCAAATATCTAACACATTTGTAACCGTAAATTTTTGACAACTTTATTGATAAAAAAACGTTTTTTTTTTATTATAACAACAACTCCAAACGGGTTCTAAATTGAAACAGGCAATTGTTAGTCAATCTTATATAGTTTTTTGTTTTTTAAAATTATAAAATGTATTTTTGTAATTTGAAAAGGTATTAAATGTATATGAGGTAACTGTTAGTGAACCTTATATAGTTTTTTTAATACTAAAATGTATTTTTTTATTTGTAAAGGTATTAACATTTTTTCAAATTCTAAAATTTATTTTTGTAATTTGAAAAGGTACTAAATGTATATGAAAAATAAATATATAAAATCTCTTGTACCAGTTTGCTTATTATGTGGCTCTTGGACTACTCCGCACAGGATTAGTATTACACGTTTCACCGCAAAACCAGTGAGTTTACGTGGACCCCACCGCTTCTGAGTTATACTTTCCCACTTTGAAACTGGGATCTCCTAGGCGAGCTCGCACTCATGTGTCAATTTATGTTAATAAGAATACTACTTAATTGCCAATGACCTAACAATTCTTCTCCCTCTTCGAATCAGAAAAGGTTTTTCTTTTATCTCTCTCTCTCTAAAATCTCTCTCTATATCTATCTATATATATCTCTGATTTTTGTTATTTGATGTGTCTAAGATTGGAAAATACAAAAGGGAGATCTGATGTACTTGCTCGTGGATCTTAACTACATTCCAGACCATGATTGCCCTCGAACATAAAGGTATGTTCTAGGTTTCGCTCTCTCTCACCTTTGATCTGTTGATCTCTGGTTTAATAATTTGGCTAAGTGTTGTTTTGCCCTTTATTTTGTGTGCCTATTGAGATCATCCGAATTTTAATTTATTAATTTATTAATTTATTATTTTTGTTTATACTGGAATCCGAATGTGTCGAGACTGAACAATTCTTCATGTTGTTGTTAGACATTGGAGCGATTTGGTTTTACATGATCGGTTTTGGAGCATTTTTAAAAAATTAAAAAAATTGTGTAATCACAGTTTGTGAATATTGTAACCGTCAATTAGTGTTGATCTTTTGACTGGTTTATGAGATAGAGAGTTAAATAGAGTTTTAAAGGAATGAATTTTAATCTGGGTTGTGTTGCTTTGTCTTTTTTAAAGTGGAGTCTGGTGGCCTGTGCAGTAATTGGCTATGAAGATACTAAATTGTTAATGGGTGGCTATGAAGATGCTAAATTGTCAATGGGTTGGTGTGTGGTTTGGTTGCAGTATGGAATTAGGTGTTAATACCATGGATAACAATATTTGAACACTTTCTACCGGACGAGACTTCAACCAGTTGCTTTATTGCTTTATTGCAGCATGGTGCTTTATTGCTGCATGGCAATTGATTTTGGCAATTGTTCTTACGCCCCTAAGTGGAGATCAAGAGCATCTTGATCTTTTCAGTCAACAAGTGTATAATGGGATATAACATAGCATTCCAACCGAGCAAAATTCAAACACGATGACAATTGGCGAGTCTCAAAATTTCTTAACAAATGTATATAGTAGCAAATTAAACCATGACCATTAAAATAAATCGAATTGTCATTTAGAATTAAATAAAATTTGTGTTTGGAAATTTAACTGCAAAAAATCCCTACTATATAATGACAGATTAACTATGAAGTATAAATGCTATTAATAAGGCCACTTGCCATTAAATAATTCAAGTACATAAAATGTGCAGAAGAAAAATAGAGCAAGTTTGCAAAACCCAATAGACAGTAATCTATCTAGTAAGTAATAATCATGTATCAAATAAATATTACAATTATATTAAATATTATTATTAGAGGGAGGGAGGAAGGGAGTTTAATAACTGTAAAGAAGTCTAATATGAAGATTTTCTTTCATCCTCTGTCATAGAAAAAATGGAAGAAGCAAAGTCACCACCAAAAGAAACCACACTCACCCCCTCAAAGCAGCTCCAGATCTCCCCAAACCCCAACACTCCCACTGTCGCATCAGAAATACCGGCCACAGGCGGTTCCAGGCCACCTGAACCATCTTCCACCACTAACCCCCTCATCCACATCCCCAGCTATTCCAGATGGTTTTCGTGGAACAACATACATGAATGTGAGGTTCGATTCCTTCCAGAGTTTTTTGACGGGAGATCACCGTCGAAGAACCCTAGGGCTTACAAGTACTACAGGAATTTGATAATCAAGAGGTTTAGAGGAAGCCCCGCCAGGAAGATCACCTTCACAGAGGCTCGCAAGACTATTATTGGAGATGTTGGGTCAGTTCGGAGGGTTTTTAATTTCTTGGAGGCTTGGGGTCTCATCAATTACTCTGCTTCTGCCTCCAAACACCATTTGAAGTGGGAAGACAGGGAAAGCAAGTCCAATGCCTTGTCTTCTTCGCAGACCAACAAAGCAAATATCATTGCTGGGTTTACTGTTCCCAAGAAGAGATTGTGCAGTGGTTGCAAGTCTGTATGCAGCATTGCCTGCTATGCTTGTGATAAGTATCAATTGACTCTTTGTGCAAGATGCTATGCCCATGGTAATTATCATGTTGGAGTTATGTCATCGGATTTCAGACTAGTAGAGATTAGTGAAGATTTCATGGCAGATTGGACGGATAAAGAAACATTGCACCTTTTAGAAGCTATTATGCATTTTGAGGATGATTGGAAGAAGGTCGCCGAGCATGTTGGTGGCAGAAGTGAGAGAGAATGTGCCACTCATTTTATCAAGCTTCCTTTTGCCGAGCAATTTATAGGACCTGCAGATTCTGTTGAGATCGATAACAAGTTCTGTCAAACAAAGGACCAGAGTGATGTGGAATTTGGATCTCAAAGTATCGGCCCTTCATTCCCAACCAAAAGGATGCGCCTTTCCCCGCTTGCTGATGCCAGCAACCTAGTTATGGCTCAGGCTGCTTTCCTCTCAGCTTTGGCGGGTGCAGAGGTTGCAGAAGCAGCTGCTGGTGCTGCTGTGAGAGCTCTGTATGAGGATGATTATAGAATAACTAAAGAGAGACTTGGATCTCCCATCGGTGGCACAACACAACAAGAATGTGTAGTTGCTTTTGATTGTGATAACACTTCAAATACAACGGAAGGAGTCTGTGCCGATGCACAGTTGCGGCTTGAGAAGGAAGACCAGGACCTGCAGAGAGCAGTCTCTGAAATTACTGAAGTGCAGATGAAGAAGATTCAAGATAAGGTTGTTCATTTAGAGGAGTTTGAATTACAGACGGAGAGGCAGTGGCAACAACTGCAACAAATGAAAAACCTGCTGTTTGTTGATCAGCTGACTCTTTTTTGTGATAGAACTTCCGTCCCAAAATCTGGAGAAAGAACGGAGGAAAATGTTAAAAAGAATGATGTCTCGTGATTGTTTTCTTTTCTTATTAAAAAGCAAATGTTACGCTTAAGGTGCCATAATAACTCAGTAAGTTTAGCAATGCATAATTTAATAACTCATTAAGTTTAGCGATGCATAATTTAATAAAAAGGCGCGTATACCAGTTTCAATTATGTTATCAAGCTATTTAAACTTTTCTTAAAGTCCAGATTACTTAAACAAATTTATTCACATGTGATCACAATATCCCATTCATTTCACACACTTTGATTACAAGTTGACGATGAGATTTAAATCTGAACTTCTCGTCACTTTGATTAACTATAAGCTACTCAACTATCCAAATAACCCTTTAAAGTCATACTCGTCAATCAATACCACCTCTAATGAGAAAACACTTCTCTTTAAAAGCCACGGTATAAATCACATAGCCAACCGACATCCCATCCTCTTCATGGCTGGGAGAGTTGTACTCTCCAAGTAAGTGTCGAGGAGATATATAACCTCACCCAAACACATACTTACCTCGGTGATACGGAATGTACATAACCTTACCCAAATCACTGTTAGTTATAACTTATAAGTGAGATGCATAACTTACCCAAGGTATGATTACTCTCTACCACTGTCTAAGCATGCTCGACTGATATGTTTGGCACACTAAATCAAATCTGGACTATCGCATTACACCCATGCTCCAGTTATATCCATCACTACTTAAAACCACTATCAAACATCAATCTATAGATACGAACTAGGGAGAGCACCATGTGGAAAACCTCCAATTATACCTAATTTAGGTGCCTAGGAAAAATCAAAACCCAACTACTTAAAACTAATTTGTACTCTCAGTTTTTACATGTTAAAGTAATGATTTCCTAATTAATGTTCCGGGAAAGCTTCTTCTTGTCAAGCTCATGCTTCTTCTGTTTGGTTCACCGTTTTTGATGTTGCTGATTTTAAGACAGAGGATGTTCTTTCTTAGTTTTGTTTGCTTTCCTTTTTGGCCGTTTCATTTATACTGGAAATGGATGTTTTCTTTCATCACTTTCTTTTCTTTGATCTAGAGGTTATGCCCTCTTTTCTTTTCTTTTTACTTGTACTGAATTGCTATATCTCTTTAATATAAACACCATTTATGAAACATAATTTCCTAACTAAGTTCACAAATATTCAAGCTAAGACCTATGTAAACTCAAGTTCTTAATTAATTAATTAATTCAGATGTTTTTATTTAATTAAATTTTAGTATATATTTCTGTATTTTATCTAATTTAAATTAATTTTAAATTCAAAATAAAATGTATTTTAGTTTCAGATGGAACCTAAAGTGGCCCATCCTTTTGGGTTGGGCAAGTGGAGCCTAGTGGCCCCAACCCGCCACCCAGGTGGCCACCCCACAGCACACACATGCTGCATGTGCCTCCCCTGTGTGTGGACTTGTGTGGTTGCAGTGGGTCTTCTCTATCCTGAAGACTTGTCCATACCTTCGGAGAAACCCAGTTTCTGAACCAGACACTTCAAAACCACCTCAAATCATCCTCAAAATTGGGGGTTTTTTATTCAATCATAGAACGAATCTATATGTTTTAGATTGGTGTTAATTTGTGAGACTAGTTGATAGGTTTCTTGTCCTGAAACTATACTTATGGTGTCATTCATCACCTCTTTTTAGTCCACATAAATTCACACACACACACACACACACACACATGATTTCATCATGGTCTTAACCTTATTGGCATATAGTGCTGCAAGTATATATATGCACACACACACATATATATTGTTTACGGTAAATTACACTACGTCCCCTAATGTAAGACCTACTTACACGGTTGTAGATTTTACCAAAGAAGTGTAAAACGGGTATTCCCTAACTCTCTTATTCTTTCTTTTTTATTTCCTCCCATACTTGTGGGAGAAAAGCTAAACAGTATTCAAGGAGTAAATTTTTGTCCTTTTCCTTTCCCTACTTCCTTTTAGACCAAATGTGGGATAATTCTCCCATCTTTCCCTGTCTTGTCATTTCCTTACAGTTTCTTCATTCAAACTTAAGTTAGCCGTTGGTTTAATTATATTCATGTTCCTAGTTATTGTTAAGAGTCAAGGTTATTTTGGTATTTAATGGTTTGTGCGACAACGGGCTGTAGCAGGGCACATGATTGTTATATATGGTTGCTAGTAGGTGCATATAAGCTTTATTAGTCAAAATATTTGAGTTTCCAAATAGGGAGTTCAATTCCTACTAGACACAAGAACAGAAGTCTACAAATAGCTACATAATGCTTTTGCTTGAAGGGGTGCAAGTTTAAAAAAAATTCAGAGCTTTTTTTTTTTTTTGATAAGTAAAATAGAGCTTTTGAAGCCTTATAAGATTTTTATGATGCAATTCTAGCCCTACTGTGATGTTCAAGGGACCCTAGGAAGTAGGAACAATTCCTTCCTTATCCTTCTCTTTCTTCTTTTAAATTTTTATGCACTTTCAAGCCTTTAAAAGCATATACCAGGTTTGATTGCTTTTGTTCTACCTTAATATACTTATTTATTACTTTTCAAACATAAAGTATACTTATTTATTGAATCCCAATCATCTTACACCCTGAAATACTCAACCTAACAACCCGAAAGGGACTAAACAGCACTAAATTACCATGCATGTACTGTTTACATCCCTGGAAATAGTCCCTAGGCTTTTTTGTTTCCTTCTTGCACCCGTTTTCGTACCCTAAAATACCATGGGTCTTTGAACTTTTAGCCAAATAAAACTGATTATAAACAACTCTATAAACCTAACAAAGTGCTATATATTAACTTTGGTGATGAAGTTTGTAGAAAAGTTTTATGTATAAACTTTGGTGAAATAGTCCCTAGACTTTGTTGTTTCTTTCTCACCTGTTTTCATACCCTGAAATACCATGGGTCTTTGAACTTTTAGCCAAATAAAACTGATTATAAACAACTCTATGAAGCTAACAGAGTGCTATATATCAACTTTGGTGATGAAGTTTGTAGAAAAGTGCTATATATCAGCTTTGGTGATGAAGTTTATAGTGAAGTGCTATATATCAACTTTGGTGATGAACTTCGTAGAAGAGTGGTTTCTGCACGTGTCCTACATCAGAATTTCTTGTGTATTGTCTCAAAAGGAGATCATCTAGTGAGCTAAGGAAGATTAGGAACCTTTGACGAACAAATCATTGACCATATTCTGTGTAGAACAAACAACAATAGATAAAGTGGGGTGGTCATCGGCTGGGCCTATACAGTGGCATCAGTTTATTTCAGTGGTACAGGCCCAGGATTGGCTTTGTTCGACCTCAGGTATAAGCTAGCAAGCCTAGCTCACCCTTAGAAATTCTTTAGTGCTCAGGCCCATTCAACTCAGCCTGTTATAAAATTCTTTTCTTTCTAATGAGCCATTCATCAAATATAATCATAGATGATGTAATAAGTTAGCACCACTTGCCTATTAGCCTAGGTGGGATTCAGTTCTTCCAATTATGTGACGTGTACTTGGGCAGAGTTTTGGTGCACAATTAGGTAACTAAAAATGGTCCAAATGTACGAGTAGTCGGGTACCATACACAAAATGTTGTACTTGTGCACCTTCATATTCATTAAACTAGGTGAGCATAATCTACGTGAATCCTCATACTTATGGTTATGGGCTTATAGCAACTGATAAATATTTGAACTATGTATCATTATTACGAGGGTCTGAATTGAAACAAGAATAGAAGACGACTGAATAAGCGAAGTTATATAATTCGGTTAATTAAAAGGTGATAACAAGATTGACACTTCTGAATTAATTGCAGAATTGAATGTCTATTAGTTTATGTTTAGGTGGAATTAATGAAGCAGTACAAATTGGTGAGTGCAAGATTAAAAAAGCAAGATGCACCTGTTCATTTATGATTTGAAGATACACTTCTTTTTATAGAATTATCACTTTTTAATTTATTCTATGTAATCTTTCCCGATAATGAACTTTTTAAAATGTCATTGTCCTATCATCCAATATTTCAGGAAGTGACCTGATTTCTTGTGTACAAGTTTGAAGTTCAGTTACATTAACCAACTTACCACCACCCCGAAAGCTAACCTGATAAATAACCTTTTTAGTATGAACTTTACAGAAAAGCGAAATGTTGAAGTTCTTGTATGTATATACTGCTGCTAATTATTTCCATCTTCCCTGATGTTGTCATTCTCAATTGGTTGAAATTTTACTGCTGGTTGTCTAACACAAATTTGACTTAACATCAAATGTCATGAACTCTAATTAAGGTTCCCTAATAGAAATTTCTACAAGTTTGTTTAGAGCATGCCCATCAATATTGAACCAATCTTTACCAATAAAAATATGCAATAGTACAAAAGAAAAAGCATTAGGCTTATCATTACTTGAATAGTATTTAGAAGGTTATGTCTTAGAGCAATCACTTGTGCAAAACATTGCCAAAGGTTGGGTCTATATCCAAATTTTCCCTCCAAGACCAGCCGAGTAATGGCTTTTTGTATCATTACTTGAATAGTATTTAGAAGGTTATGTCTTAGAGCAATCACTTTTGCAAAACAATGCCAAAGGTTTGGTCTATATCCAATTTTTCCCTCCAAGACCAGCCGAGTAATGGCTTTTTGTATCATTACTTGAATAGTATTTAGAAGGTTATGTCTTAGAGCAATCACTTGTGCAAAACAATGCCAAAGGTTGGGTATATATCCAAATTTTCCCTCCAAGACCAGCTGAGTAATGGTTTTTTGTATATAGAAGAACCAATAGAAAAAAATTCTTTTAAGTTAACTTACAAAAATTCTGGTTCTTCGTTGGTCTTTATCCCTTTTCCTTTGTTGACATCAGGCGAATATTTCAGAGCAACATTGAAGTTCATCTTGTTACACTGTTGTGTGTAGTCTCGTGGGTTGTCTTACTGGTTCTTTCAACGATTCATCATTCACTATATATATATATAGATATCATCATCATCCCTGCCTATATATCCCATATGGATGGGGTGGGCAACATGAACTCCCTTTTTCCACTCTTTCCTATTATACACCATGTCCTATTAAATTTAAGTTTTATAAGTCATTTTTAATTACTTCATCCTACAAGCTTTGGTCGGCCTCTTTGTCGCTTGCCTTCTAAGCAAAGAACTCTTCATCTTTTAACAGGTGCATTATTGGGTCTATGTTGAATATGACCACATCCCACCTATAAGTCTGTTTTCCATGATTTTATTATTTATAGGCACTATACCGAATGTTCCCCTAGTTATATAGAGACATCTTATATATATGTACTTATCAAAAAAAAAAAAAAAAAAGAAAAAGACATCTTATATATAATTATTTTTATAATTTGACTTGTATAACATATGCTGGCTTTGTTATAACCTCGTGAAATACTGCTTCTGGAATCCTTCCTTTGTGCTGTGATTGTCAGAACATTCAACTGATTTAAGCTGATGTCAATTGGTCCCTTTCCATTCTATTTCCTTAACGAGTTGTTTGTTACTTATTTATTTGATTGCAGAAACTATGCAAATGAGCTCTGAGGCATCCATAAAATGCCTCCAGAGCAAGGAATCCCCTTACAATCTGCAGTGTAATGGGAAACCTGTAGAAGGTGGGGATATCATAGAACCAGGACGCTCATTAAGCAGCAAATCGCTTGAACCTTCAAATGAACTACACAAAAAGACCACCTATCAACATGACTTTGGCACGTGGTCGTCCTTCCATCCAGACTCTAATAATGTGCAGCAGTGCCAGCTGAATGCTTTTGAGAGCCAATTTCACCCTTTTCCAGTGGATAACCGGTTCCAATATGCCCCATTCAATATGTTCCCTCAAAATTACCCTTACGAGCACCAGTTTCAAGATTTCCAATATTTTGTGGTCATTGACTTTGAGGCTACCTGTGATAAGGAAAAAAATCCCCATCCTCAAGAGATAATTGAGTTCCCATCTGTGATAGTGAGTAGCATGACTGGTCAACTGGAAGCTTGTTTTCAAACATATGTGAAGCCTACATGCAATCAGCTTCTGAGTGATTTCTGCAAGGATCTGACAGGCATCCAGCAAATTCAGGTTTGTTCCGGGTTATAATCAGCTAATATTTCAGTTTTTGGCCTAAACAAATGTTTTATTTTTCCCCAGTTAATGGGAACTCCTAATATTAATTTGTCCTTTCTCAGTG